AATCATATTTCCTAAGGCTTGAGTGTACCAAGTAAGATACAGTAATAAACATGTCCCAAATCTCAGTTATTGAAAACAACTAAAATTTCTCATTCATGCTATACAACCTTAGAGGATTAGCAGAGCTATTTTATAACCATCCTCACTCTGAGACACAAGCTGAGGGGCCAGCACCTGTGTCCCATGTGTAGATCCTCCGTCTACAGGGTGAAGGAAAATGGCAAGTCCTTCTGTGACTCACAATACTTTTGTTGGGAAGGATCAATCTTGCTCATATCTTTTTGAATAAAATCAGATTCATACATGGAGTATACCAATAATAATAAAAATGTATTTTTGACTTACGAAGATTTTAAAACTAATGTGTGGCCTCTCTTAAGCTTTGTTGTATTTTGTAAAAACCTTAGATATGAGAATTGAAAACTGTAGATACCTACTACTACCCAGCAACAGAAACTAGGATGAACAAGTTTGTATCTATATTGACTGTAGGCAACACATTCGGCTAACTGAAATGATGGCTCAAGGCGATCAAGAATAGAAATCAAGAAATTATATTAAAAGTATATAGTGAGAGAATTTAAGAGATCCTGAGAGCCATTCTTCGATCTTTGAGACATGATGATCCTACCTACACTCATCACCAGCAGAAGCAAGTCATAGATTTTAATTTCCTGTGGAATATTCGTTCCCCTGCCCCTGAGGACCAGTGTCTTTTCTTTTCTCTTCTCTCTCTCTCTCTCTCTCTCTCTCTCTCTCTCTCTCTCTCCACATGCACACCCACACATCAGCCCAGTTGATGAGCTGATAAGGCTCTCAGGCTTGAGGACTGATGGTGCATATTGGATGTTTTATTCAAAGAGCCCAGTGCTAGTGATGTGGCTCACAGATGTTGCTCCACTGGAAAGCACAGTACGCTGACCATTGGACAAAGGGCTAAACAGACTATTGCAAACTGTTGATTTTCATTCTCAAATTGCCTTGGAGAGTGATTCACCTATCAATACTTCCATTTCTCTTAAGAAAACTAGTGATGTGCATCATTTAGTTATAAAGTACTTCCAGAAGCCTATATGAACTTCTTTTTTGAGACAGGGTCTTCCTGTAGCCCCAACTGGCCTGGGATTTGGTATATAGACCAGGCTGGCCTCAGTCTCACACGGATGTGCCTGCCTCCTCTTCCCAGGTGCTGGGAGTAAAGGCTTGGGCCACCACTCTTGGAATGTGAATTTATTTTTTAATCAAGTTATACAACTGTATTCAACATTATTTTAATGCAATACATTTAATATATATTCTATTATTTTAAAATAGTAACTAAGTAGTTCCTATTGAGAAATATGGGCAATCAATATGTATTTGAAGACCAAAACTTGGTCAGAGTTTATTAATGTGTAAGTCTACAGTAACTTTCTTGACTAGTTCTAGGTATTAAACAGTTTAGATAAATAAAAGGCTATTGGCATGTGTGTGTATTTGAAGTGAATTTTTGTGGGCTTGAGAGTTAATTTATGCAGTTTTGTCATTTTTCCATTATATCATTTTTCATTTGAAAATTTAAAATATGGAACTATTTGTAATTTTTTCTAATTTTTGTTTGTTTCTATTCGATTTGCTTATTCTACTGGCCAAACCATTGGATATTTTGATGACTTGTAGAATGCAAGTCCCTAAACTTAAACAATGCCTTAAGATATAAAACCTGGGGCTAGAGGGATGGCTCAGTGGTTAAGAGCACTGACTGCTTTTGCAGAGGACCTGGGTTTGAATCCCAACATAGAAGCTAACAACCATCTGTTACTCCAGTTCTAGGGGATTTGACACCTTCTTCTGACCTCCTTGGTCAGACATGGGTACACTTATATACATGCAGGCATTTACACATAAAAAATAATAAAAATAATACATAAAATCATTTAAAGATATAAAACCTGTCTGGCATGGTGACCCATACCTTTAAACCCAGCAACTGGGAGGTAGAGACAGGCAGATCTCTATGATATTAAGGTCAGCCTGGTCTCCACAGTGAGTTCCAGGCCAGCTGTGGTTACAGGGAGACTCAGTCTCAAAAAGACCACACATAATTAATAATATTATATTATATTATAAATATTATATATAAAACCTTTCTAATGTGAAAACAACTGGAAGATAATTGTCAGAAAACAAAATCTATTTTGATATGGTTATTTTCTTTTCCTCTGAAGGCTTTCACTTCAGAATAGAATAGTCTGTTATTATAATAAAGTGATGGAAATATAAACTGGTTTTTAAAAATAAATAAAATGGACTCTGATCAACCTCTCTATCTTTTCTCTTTCTCACACGGCACGGTAGATGATTGTTCATTGAATGTACAATAGTAATGCCATGTTATTGTTTGGCTGCAGATTATAAGTGTAGATAGGTGGCAGTTGTTTGAGGTGTAATACATTTTTTAATCTTTGAGACTCCAGAAGCATGACAGGATTATTCAGCACCACCTGAAAATGTTATAAAATCACGTAGAGCAGTGATTCCTATCTGGATTATTGGTGGAAGACAGACAGTCAGAAGTACTTCTGAGATTAAAAACCTCGGACTCTTAACCCACTATCCTACTTACAATCATTAGAGAAAAATGTTGAACCTGAGACAGTACCTTTGGGGAATTTTCTATAGAAAGAAAACTGTAAGCATTAAGTTGGACATTGTCCTAGCATTCGAGAGTTGCTGGCCTGAAGGTCTTGAGTTCCAGGCTGGCCTAGGTTACACAAAGAGACCTAAAACGATAAAAGGAAGCTATTAGGTAATAAAAAGATAGACACTAGAGCTAGGCATGGTAGTGTACACCTTTAATCCTAGCACTCAGGAGGGAGAGGTAGGTAGACGTCTATGAGTACAAGGACAGCCTGGTGTGCACAGCAGTTACAGGCCAGCTGGGGTGACAGGGAGACCTTGTCTCAAAACAAAAGCAACAACAATAATGACAGAGACACTAACAAGTAATGGGAAAAATATGGAGGAATAGGAACCATGATACACTGGTGGTGGGAAAATAAAGTAGAACCACTTCAAAAACAGCCTTGTAATACTCCAAAGAAGTAAACACACAGTTATCAAATGACTTGGCTATTCCACTCATAGATGCACAAAAGAAATTAGACCATGTGCCCCCAACAAAAACCTTTACATGAAAAGTCCTGGCATAGTCGCATTTTAATTTTTTTTTCATTTTATGTGTATGTGTATTTTGCCTGCATGTAGGCAAGTGCACCCACGTTGTGCAATGCCCACGAAGGTCAGAAGAGGCTGTCGGATCCCCTGGAACTGGAGTTATGGACAGTTGTTAGCTGCCATGTGGGTGCTGGGATTCGAACCCAGGTCTTCTGCAAGAACAACCAGTGTTCTTAACCACTGAGCCACCTCTCCAGCCCCTCATCGCATTTTAAAATGTGCATTAGCAGACAATTAAATGAACAGCTGCAGTGTTCTATGACATGGACTATTATTCAGCCACAAAAGGACAAAGCATTAACACATGCCACAATATTGACTAGCCTAGCAAACGTGATGCTAAGTGGAAAATACAGATACAAAAAATGTCACATATTTTATGATTTCATTTATAAGAAATATCCAGAACAAGGACTGGAGAGATGGTTCAGCAGTTAAGAGCACTGGTTGTTCTTGCAGAGGATCCAGGTTTGATGCCCAACACCCATCCCAGTCACCTGTAACTCTAATTCCAGGGGATCCAACTCCCTCATCTGACCTCCTCTGGTATTGCAGGACATGGGTGCACTTACATTCATGCAGGCAATATGCTCATACACATAAAATAAAAAAATAATAACAATAAATAAAATATTACAAAAAAGAAATATCCAGAACAAATAAATCCACAGACAGGAAGTAGATTAGCAGAATCAAGAGGTTGATAACAGAAAAGTAGGGGATGACAGCTGTCCATTACAGCTTTCTCCTGGACTGAGGAAATGTGTAGAATCAGTGTTCATGGCTGTGTAATTCTGTGATTATTTTTAAAACACCTGGATTTTAAAGATTTAGAGGCTAAATTTAATTCTATATGAATTTTTCCTTATTAAAAAGTGAATTTGCAAAAAAGCCAATGTAACAGAAAATGACATTTCTGCTGTCACAAGTCCTCCTTTTCCTCTCAAACACAAAATCTGTAGCCATAGCTTCTGCAACCATTCCTCAGAAAGCACGTTTCAGAGTAACTTTGCAATTCTCATGTGAGAAGTGAATTTGTATTTCTCATTTCGATAAATCAAAATGAATGTTCTCCTAGATGAGTTTTTCCTTCTGAAATTTGTCCTGATCTGGTAGAGAGAACACATTCAAGGCTAAATGTCTTCTAAAATGACAAAGCTTACTCATAGATGTTTATACAATGCTCTTCCAAGTGAACAATATTCCCCAAAATAATGGTATTGGATTTCATAAATGTCAGTGGGCAATTAGATGCTCTAATTCAGAAAGCTTTAAGCAAACATCTAAACTGTGTTAAAAAAAATTTAATGTAATATTGAACTGTATGAAACCGAACTGAAATTGAATAAACCTCCCAACTGAAGTAGAGAAATGATGTATGTGTGCATGTGTGCAGAAAGAGGACAAAGACAGAAAGATAGAGAGCCACAGAGACACAGAGACTGAGAGACACAGAGACAGACAGAGACACAGAGAGACATTGGAATTCTTGGTCCAGTTTTTTCACTAATTGGAGCTGGTCTGTTATCAGTTCTGAAAAGATCCATCTTCCTTTCCTTCCTTCCTTCCTTCCTTCCTTCCTTCCTTCCTTCCTTCCTTCCTTCCTTCCTTCCTCCCTCC